CCTTTCCCTCACTGTAGAGGCATTGTTAGGTACCCAGTTTTACAGGTTTAGGGAGTTCGTTTTGCCTTTGAAGAGGAGAACTGGGGGAGGAGAACTGTACAGTGTGGGTTTATGTGAATAATGCGTATAATACCCAATTGTTTTTATTCATTGGTTTGTCTGCGTTGCGCTCTAAAAGCATAACAGATACTGAGAAAACTTACCTTTCTTTCAGTAAAGATGATGTGGAGAAATGCAAACAGAAGGATTTACTGGAGCAGATGATGGCAGAAATGATTGGAGAATTTCCTGATCTTCATCGAACGATTGTCTCGGAACGAGATGTTTACTTGACCTACATGCTGAAGCAAGCAGCAAAGCAGATAGAACTACCTCGAGCTTCAGAAAGTAATTGTTTTAAAGCAGATATCATAACCAGCAAGGTGTTCTTTGTGTACTAGTCCAAAGTTCAGTTCTTCCCAGGAAATCTGGGATGTTCTGTTCATGTGTGCCACCTGTCACACAAGATTACAGTGCTTAAAAAATTTAAAAGGGCTATTACTCTTCTGTTGCAACCACCTCAAGAAGTAAAGAATTTTCATAGAGCAGTAGACTTCAAATTATGGTTCCTTTCTCATTGTGCTGTTTAAAACTGGAAAATACTAATTAGCCTGACAAATTTTTCAAGAGGCAGGCATCTGGTATTACAGCACAGCAGAGGACAGTCTAGGCTTCCGTTGCCTATCTCACTTCCACCTTGTTACCTTGCCAAATTAATTGTCATCACTAGCTGTTCAGGAGCACATTTCTTGCTTGAAACTTGTGTGACTGCATGTTTCAGCAAGGTATAAGCATACAGAATAATGGCAGTTCTCTAGCCTTTGGAAGTATTTTGCTGCTGTATGTGATCTGCATGCCCTTCCTATATATAAGCATACTGAGGTATGGGTTACCTCTTATTTGCTGTCTTAAGATACCGTTTGTAATCACTTCAGCGCAGACCGCTGGCGCTGTCTTGTGATTGAAAAAATAGCGAGGGGATTGCACTTGTGTTCTTGTACGTCCCGTACCTAATGTTACCTCAATGCTGCCTGCCTTTGTAAAACACGCCTGCCTGCCTTTCTCCAAACACACAATATTCCCTGTTAGCTCAGCTGATAGGGCTGAAAGAGGCACAGATGAATTCAGTTACTTGGTCCAAAGAGCAGGCTGAAAATTCAGTTTTATTGTTGGTCCTGGCTGGGTCATGAGCCACAAGAGGAATTGTTTAGCAATTCCCCTGCTCTTTTGGTTTTGGTCCTGTCCCCCCTGCCTTTAAATCTACCTTCTTAAAAGCTCAGTCTCTGGATCACTGGTTTAGTGAATGGCTATGAAACTGGAAGGGGTTTATATGCATTATGAAGGATTTAAAATAGAAGATGGGACCATAAGAGACAAGAATGTGAGGGACTACCTGGCTGATACTCATGTGTCTCAGTCTCTTAGTTAACAAGAGAGAATGCCAGAGACAGTTTTGTTTAGAAGCTGTGCTTTTATATTATATACATATAATCTGTTCTATACATTCATTCTCACGAGAGGCAAAAAGAAAGGAGAAAAAAAAAAAGCAAATGATATACTTACGATTCATAGTAAAATACAAAACCCCACAATTCAAATGAGCAGAAATAGGGCATCATCACCATTGTCCAAATAATTTGCTATTGTAGGGACATAGTAAGGGGAAAGTCCTGGACGCTATCTGCAGGACTCAAATATACTTTTGGTCTGATATATTCCTAAACTACATCTGATTTATTCCTAGCCTTCATCTGACTGTTTGCCTGGGTGAACTCTTCCAAAGAGCTTGCAAATGAAGCTTTCACCTTTAGTTTTTCATTCTATCTTTACTCCACACAAAATATTCTGAGAGGGATAAAAGTTTCTACTAGGACTAAGTTTCAGGCAAGGCTTTACACGTGACTGATGTCATCGTTGAATCCTGCCCAGAAGCAGGCAGCGGGTGCGATGTGCTGTGGACAGCCCGTTCTGCTGAGGTCCTGTGCTCTGTCTCGGGTGTAGTTGCAGCTCTGATTTAGAGCAACCCTAGAATAGGCTGAGAAAAGGCAAGTCCAAAGAAACAATTTTGAAAATGTGTATAATAGTTCTAGTGTTTTCAATACAGTTTTGTTTCATTTGGGGGGGGCTGCTTTTCAAATTTTTTTACTTATTCCTGGAAAAATCAAGGGTGGATATTTAAAGCAAGACAGTGGAACTTACTCACATCTTATATTTATCTATAATTTTCCTCATAGGAAAGCAGCCTGATTACTATTACTTAGAAAGTTTTCTGTGAATTATTTTTATCGTGATGTGGTGCCATTTTTTCATTGGGGGAGAGGTAATCCCTAAACTTTGAGGAACAACATTTTAACCTCCACTGGGTGTTGTGGAATTTGAAGGGTAGATGGGAGGTGAGGGTGAGAACCAGCACGTGTTGCAGTGGTCTAACGGTGACTGGCTTGGTGCTGCACACGAATGGTGTGGGTTTTGCTGTTAGTTGCTGAGGCCAGGTCTGTAACAGTAAACTTAACCAGGGGCAGGTGTGGTCTTGAGGGCTGTTCTCTGATTGTCCATTCTGCTTGTTAGCCCAGGTCTTGTCACCATCTGGATGTGTGCCAGCTGCCACTGTTCAAAGTGGTGGAGAAGGCTCTCTGTTCAGGAGACGGCAGAGACCACAGCTGTTCCTGATAAGCAGTACAGAAACATGACCCACACAGGGAAGGAAAGAAATTAATTTAGCTTGCATCTGCTGAGCCTCTCACCCTGAGGCTGGAGTATGAGCCCTGGCCAGGTCTGTTTACTGAAACAAACATTTCCTGAAAATCCAGAAGCTGTGCTGATTTTTTTCCAGACTTTCAACATAGGAGGCAGTAGGTGAGATGAGTATTAATTTTTAGTTTATAACAGAGTTTTACTATCTAGTAGTAAGAGTCCCTACCTCTTGGAAAATTCAGTTTTGTAATCTCACACATTACCTATTTGATAGCTTGAAATTAGTTCTTTCACTGATGTGTTCCTTTCTCTCCATCTCTCTCTCTCTCTCAGCGGAACCTAGAAAATATATCCCAGCTGTTGTAGTTGGTGTTGTTGGGATGGGTCATGTACCTGGAATTGAAAAGAACTGGAACTCTGACTTAAACATCCAGGAAATAATGAGGTAACAGTCATCCTTTCCTACGTGTTGATGTAACAGCTTCTCTTGCTAAAAGACATCAATAATCGGTTGGTTTGGAGTTTTTTTGGTTGGTTGTCACAGCTTGAAGAAACATCACTGCTGTCATCCCTGCCTTGTCAGCTCACTGCCTTGCTGTGCAGTGCTTGCAGATTGTGCTTACAGCAAAGGAAAAGAATCAAAAGAAAAAAGTAAATAGTTGGCTATCAAGGGAAGTAGAGATGAGAAGATGACCTTGTCTAAAAAGAAAATTCATTGATCCACATTTAAGGCTTTTAAAATGAGAATTCAAATGAGGGCTGTAGAAGATGGTGAAAACAAAACCAGGCTTTCAGTCTAGTTTAGGCAAATACAAACTGTTGGATTCAAAGCTTTTGTAGTGTCAGGACACTGCTGGCTCCGGCAAGCTTACTATCACAGTTGTTCATAGCCTATTTTTAACTGTATATATATATATAAGTAATAACGCGTTTTAATGTGTGTACCTAAATATGGGCTGATTTAAGCCACTTATCTGGTGAACTCTTGCTCCAAAGTACCTATTAAAATAGATGTATGTGCTTTGTAAAAGAAGGAATTGAAGAACCAGTATGTTCAGACTACATGTATCCTATAAAGCCACAAAGGTGAGGACTTCAGAAACATAGGAGGGATTACAGTATGAGCCAGTAGTAGTGGTCTGCAGTAGTTTAGGATAATAGAGCCTTTCAAATATTGGCACTTTACCTTATCACATCTGTTCACTGTGTTTATGTAAGCACCTCACCAATCTCTTCAGAGGCTCTGAAAAACAGAAAAGACTGTGCCCCACCTAAACGGTGTATTTAGGCATCTAAAATATGATTTATAGGGACTTTTGGTGTCTGGATCCAAGAATGCAATTCTTGCCTAGCTATTTATAAGTCTCTCTCAAGGCTAAGCCTCGCCTGGAGTCACAAACTAGATGTCAATATTCCTCTGCACCCTCGCAAATAACCTGTCAAATGAGGCTGCCCAAATCCATATAATTGTATGCTTAATGCTGGTTGCATCATTGACATTACAGAACTGAATAGCCCAGAGCCCGACTATGTGTCTTCAAGTTTACACAGAGGGTCTTTTTCATCAAAGCGTAGGCTCTTCGACTTGCTTTTGCCGTCCCAGTGCCATAACTAAGTGGAATGGCTACCAGTATCTTTCATAAGACATTAATATTGCATTAACTTGACTTTCTAAAATAATATGAAGCAAATAACATTGGTAAGATTACTATATTTGAGACTCATTTCTCATTAAACTTTTTTACCCCTTGTGCTGTTGCACTGCAGTTGCAGAGCAGCGTTAACAGGGGTTTTGTGTGTGTTAGTCATTGTCACCTCTCTAAAGTGAAAAGTTTAAGACTTTTACAGATATTTAGTTAGGTTTTACAAGTCGCAAAGTGACCTTGGAAATCGTCTGGATAGAAACATATACATTTCTCAGACTTCCAATTTTTAAGTTCATGCATTGAACCTGACTCTGAGCAGACCCTATTGTTTGCTCCAGATAGCTATGAATTGATTTTTTTTTTTAAATTGTGCAGAGGGACTGGAATTGAGAAAGAAGCAATAGAGAAGCGTGTAAGAAGGTGTAAAGGGTTGCCTTTACCCCGTCCTTTGTTCAGTGTGTATGCTTTTTTTAAAACTCTTCCTGTATATTCCCTTAATATGAAAAATCTTACCAGTAACAGCTTTGCCCTAGTTTGAGCACAAGGATCTAAACTCAGTCTAGTTGTATCCTAATCTCAGCACGTCTAACCTGGTTTGAGTGTGCCCGCGATGTTTTTGCACTGCTGTAACTGATTGCTTCTGGATACGCTAGAAACATTTTCCTCGATATAAATAAATGAGAACTCCTGGCTTCTTTGGAGTGACACGCAGAGACCTCCCCATCCCCTGTGAGAGGATTACCTGGGTTGCAGTGTGGGTACGCTGTGGGTGCAGGGCCAGCCGAGGTACCGCAGAGCCTGCTAGTGAAGGTGCAGGCTACGCGTGCGTGTTGCTGTGCTTTCAAAGCCAGCTTCATTTTGAGGGTAATATTAACTGTTTGCTTTGTACACTAAGTTAATAAGACTGTTTGATGGCAGAGGTAGACCTGGTGTGCCTGTTGTCCTCTGCCCTCCTGGTTCCAGGTGGCCAGTGCAGAGACTTCCAAGTGGCTCTGTGAAGATCTCAAAGCCAGCAATACCTGCCAGACCGGAGACAGCTTCACACGAAGCCTCTCTGCTTTGTCTGCGCTGTCCTCTGTGGAGCTGCGGAGGCCAAGAGCACTGCAGGGGCTTGGCCTCCTGACGCTCGTGCTGGGAGCTGCAGCTAGGCTGGTAAGCCTGCCTGGCATCCAGGGGTACACCTTGCCGAAACACCCCCCCCGAATCGCGCCAGCCTTACCCCTTCTGGCCACACAAACCTGACCAGGTCCTGACACGCGTTATCCAGAATATCCAAGCTCTGTTTTCATCCACTACCCTGAATGACAGTGAGCTGACTGTACGGGCGTTGGAATTAAGCTGTGTCCTGTGTTTCTTCTGACTTTTGTCTCTGTGCAGAGATATGCATAGTAATATTATAAACAGTTCGACAAACAATATTAACTTCTCGTATTCTTCAAGAAGTCTTGATGTTGTCTTAGTTATTTTGATAGGGTGATGGGCAAGTGAAGGTCCGTAGCCTTAAGAATGGCATCATATGTGGAATCCGTGGAACAAGCTTTATTATTATTTATTGTTATTGTTACTATTTAATTTGGATGTAGCCCGCCCTTGAACATGAAAGAATACATTGTTCATGACACATCTGTTACCTGACGGTCTCCTGCACTATAAGCAGAAGGGGAGAAAAGATCCTTGATTTGCTTGGAAAATGCCTGTTCTTTCCAGCTATGCAGGTGTTAACATTGTTTTATATCTTTTGTTTCAGTGTGCCTCCTCCATCAGCTTCAAGTAAGATTTTCAAATTTGTCATAAAAGCAACAGTTTTTGGACTGATGGGATATGGCTGCTACCGAATAGGTCAAAGGACAGTTCAGTTTATTCTCTCGATGCCAGCAGCACAGAGCTATCTTCAGAAGCTGACAGAAATAAAGTCTCAGCATTGAACATCGAGTGGAGGCACGATGTGAAAAAGGTGGCTGAAAAAGGGTGACAGAGGCAACAAACGTGAACTGGACTGAAAGAAGAGGGAGATGAGGATTCTAGTCAGAGATGATGGATGCTGAGCAGCGCTGAATTGCTATATAATAAAATATTTGATACTAAAGTTACACCAGCTATGATCTAATGAATAGGTTTGGTTCCTGGTAAGTGTGTTGCATGAAACCACATGATTCCAGATTGAGGTAAAAGAAGTATGTACGCAAATATATATATTATATATATGCATACTGTATATATAATATATATTACTGATGATGTAGTACAGACAGCTTAAAGAGCGTATGTTCATGACTTCTTTTCCAGAGGAACAGAACAACACAAAGTAACCTAATTGGCTGCATCTGCTCTGAAGTTCAGGGACACTTGTCTTGAGTGATTCTTTGCTTTTTTTCCTTGGGTATAATAATACCTAGTGGTCGTTTCTGGTGCCAGACACTTTTACACATAACTTAGAAGGACATCTTCTCAATGTGCGTTTTATACTCAAAACATTTAGGCTTTTTTTAAACTTAAGAGCTTTCCAAAAATTTTAGAGTTGTACAGGCTGTCATTCATACGTACACTGCTCAAATTTTTTACAAGCCTTACTGAAGAACAGGAATGTTGCCTTTAGATTGCATCCCTTGTTACCACCACCAGTTGAATTGTCTTTCTCCTGCATAGGAAGGTATAGCCACGCCATCAGAATGCAATGTGGTTTGTGTCAGATGTTTACAGGACACTGTGTTCCTTTAGATTAGCTTATTTAAACTGTATTATTTAGCCAAATCCTGCTGGATTCAGTATTGTAAATTTAAGAGACTAGAACTACTGTACAATTCGCTTTTGTTTCTCGGACCTTTCATTATTGGGAAAAGAAGTCTGGAATTGATAGTACCTGCCCCTCATTTTTGATACATGAAAATATTTTATTTATCAATGTCATTTCTCAGTGGATTAATATTTGAATCTATTTAATAGAAAAGCAGTGTTCAATTTAGTTTTTCAAACTAGCTGTAGCATTTTATTTGGATTACCTGCTATTTATGCATATAATTATGGGTACTTCAAACTGCCATGATTTTCTTAATTATCCAGGACAGCCATCCATCATTGGTTTTTTGGGTTTGGTTTTTTTTTAATCCTAGGTTCATATTTCATAGGAATTTTTTTGGTACCCTTTACACAGGATTGTCAATGATTGTAAAGTGCCCTCTGCAATCAGCAAGTCCCAGTTCAACAATACCAGTAACTGTAATGGTCATATCGAAGTTTTAACCTGATGCGTTTGAATGGAAGAGCCCCATTTGCTCCTCTAGGCTCATATACAATTCCTCATCGCTTAAAGTGAAGTTTTTATCTGTATTAATTTCTTTTGGGAATGAAAGATAGGAACCAGTGTGTGAGGCAGGAGGAGGAAAAGGTGATGTTGTGTTTTGTGTTCCTTTGTTGTTTTCGGTTGGTTCAATAAAATCAACAAACCGCTTTTAGTAGGGTATATTTCCAAAGCCTTGTGTTGGAAATTGTCCCATACAGTCTGCTGTTTGCTGAAAGTATGTACATGTATCTTCTGTGCGGTGTTGTCTTTTTCAAGCTTTTTTAATGAAATTAAGGGTCTAATGCTCCTCTCTGTGATGGCATTGACTTTGCTGGGAGCTGGTCTGTCCATGCAACCTGATGCTTTTCTGCCTTGCACTTTGAAAATTTTATGAGTCCTAGTGCAGCAAATCGGTTAAGTGCATGTTTATCTTTAAACCTATTAAATCTAACCCGATCCTGCAGAGCTCTTAAGACGATGCTAGGTGCTTCTCTGGATCTGGGCCTTACAGTTGTGCAGGGAATAAACCTTAGCAAATGAGAATGGCAGCAATTCACGCTTCTTGGACACAAAAGTGTAAATGATAATACAGAATACAGTGGAGGCGGGTCCTTTTATTTTCCATCTATCAGTGCTTAAGAAACCACCAGCCATCTCTAGCAAGAGGAAGAGCAGCATTTGTAAACAATTTATAGAAGACTAGAGTGACTGCCTGAATTTTGATTCCTGATTTTTTTTTTTAAAGGTTTAATGTATTGTTTACAATTAAGCAGTCCTATTTGAATAATTCTATTACCTTTTGTGTACATTTTTAAAAGATGAAAGCAAAAGCTTAAGCTCATTCTTCTCCTGGCTTTACTGACCTACCAAAATATTGTTTTGTTGGTTGTTCTTTTGAGAATTTTTAGCTCGTAGAATTCAATATATTGATGTTTTGCTTTAAGTTATCTACAGATTTTTAAGGTATCTGCAGATCTTTTAAAAGCTCTGTAGATCTTTGATATCTGTGCTCAGGTAATTTTACACAAAGGAAAACAAATCTAAGGTAAATTTTAGATACGAGCCTTAAACTTGGGTGGGACTAATGCTAAATGATTGTCATGGAGCATTCTTGCAGACTTAATGTTTTACGCTTTTTAGCCAGAAGTGATTACCATGTAAGTTATCCGTTCATTATTCAGTTATTCTCTCTAGTTGATACCTTAAGTCTATTGTTTCACTCTTTTTTACAAAGCATATCAGCAGATTCTTCAAAGAGGCTGTTTGTGGACGGAGAATTTGCAGTTTATCTTCCCACTATTGCAAACGGGCAGGCCATATGCATGCACTGTTTACTCAGTGGCACTGGAAAGCCTGATGAATTTGCAGAACTAACAAACCTATGAATCCATACGTGAATGCTCAATGCTGTATATTCAATGTGTTGTACTGTTCATGTAACACAATCAGTGTTTTAGCTCCATTCTTTTCTGTTCTAGTCAGTCCTTTCAGTGTTAACAGCATCCTGTAAAATTTAAATACATGTTGAATTGTCCCAGCCCCGCCTCAACCTTATGAAGCCATATTGTATTTTTTTGGTGACATGTACATCTGTTTTAAGCATTTGTACATGTGATGTAAATTTGAAGTATTTTTAACAATGTGTGCCTTTACTCTAAAGTGATTTAAAGTAAACAGCAGTATGTTCTATGATATAAAAAATAAAATATTTTAACCACCATTTCTGTTGAAGGCATTTATTTTCCTTATTAATCAGTATTTTTATTGAGAACAAGCAGTGGTTAGCTAGATCTAGCACATGATCTAGTACACCATCTAACACGTTTTTGTGAACAGTGTCAGTTGGAGTAAATACCTCCCACTGAGGGGCATCTGAGCGTAATGCTGAAGTAGGGAAACTAGTTTCTCTACCTACCATATGTAATTGGTTAAGAGAGGAAAGGATGAGTTTCCCTG